CTGGGGCCCCCCCCCCCCCCGGGCGGGGGGGCCTCTCCCCCCCCGGCCTCTCCTCGCAGGGCAGGCGCTCTGCCCTTCAGCGTCGTGGAGGCCCTCTGCCGACCTCGCTCCAGTTGTTTGCAGGATCATGGTTGCCTGGTGCCTGCCAGGCCTGCAAGGCCCCAACGCCTCGGGTTATAGAGTTTGAAGAAGGCTGCTTCAGGAGCTGGAAATACTCATAACCCTGAGGAAGGGGGCGGGGGGGTGGTTCCTGAGCAGGGGATGCACATGGCTCTTCTGGGGTGGGTCGATCCTGAGACACTCCATGCTGCATTGCTCAGGGGCTAACACAGGGCATCCCTCGGTTCCGCAGCGGGGCGCCCGGAGGCACGAAGCCGGGCCTCTTCCCGTGGGCAGCGTGACAGAGGCCCCGAGAGAATAACTCCGAGTGTCTAGGCCTGGCTCCTGCCCTGAACCACATACAGTCTGCATCTCTCCCTCCTCTAACTACACACTTCGGCTCCTCAGGTAAGGATATCTGAAGCCGAGAGAGCGAATACCACCAAACTGAGCAGGAACAGCTCTTTGCACGCATCTTTGCATGCCCCTTGTAGCCCTGAAGGGCTGGCTGCTTTGGGTGGGTGATGGAAGCAGGCATCTCCCTTCTCCAGGAAGCGGGTTGGATCTGACTCACGCATCGCATTCTCCAGCAGCAGAACACGCTGAATGTCTTTCACTGGAGCTGTTCTCAGTCCCAAAGACATCATACCTGCTTGCACCACTGAAGCGACCCATTTTGCTAAGGTTTTTCTCAGCCCTGCTGAAGTCCATTTGTCTCACCCGTTCTCAGCCTCATTGGCTGTGGTTCGTCAGGGTTCTACTCTGTGCTGTAGGATTGTGAATTACAAAAGTTTCTCTCAAACTGCCAGTGCAATTTTTTAAGATATTAAAAATACTTCTGAAAAATCTCATCCCTAAATGTTTAAGAAGTGTCTTATGCTTATAAAACTCATTAGCTTGTTACACGATACATGATGAATTAAGCTTATTGTTCCTAGCTCAGCCCATTGCTTTATGCACTGATTTTGGTCCTTACAAGAAATTCAGTTGTTCAGTTGCAGTCCAATAACCGTATCTCTGCACTAAACTAAGTGCACTAAGTGTTTCCAGGCCATCAAGGGAATTAAACCAATTTCTTGTGTATTCAATCACCTTTAAAAATAAGTATTAAAAAAAAGAATTATTTTTATTAAAATTTAAAAAGTTTATACAAAACGCCTTGCCTTTTTGGGGGCAAAACCCAGACCCCCAAATGTCCCTTTGCCGTCTGTAGGGGGCAGCAGCATACTACCAGATGAGCGTAAGAAAGGGCGCTGTGCTCCCGTCCATGCACACCCACCTGGCGCAGACCTGGCTCTCCAAACCAGGATTCCCCAGGGCAGGAATACAATGCCCTTAGTATAAGGTAACTCATCTGCACTCTCAAAAGCCTGCTCCAATAAGGCATGCAGAAGCCCATGAAACTGCACGTGCTGTTCATGGCTGCAGCATGACAGGAACTGCATTGTCGCTGCAAGGAGAGGAGCACGTTCTTGCTCGGACACGGCTCCCTGGGTATGCGGTCAGCACGGGGGCTGTGTCCATCAGCACCCACGCAGCACTGCTCACAGACTGAACTTGGCCAGGCTGCTTCAGAAGTGCAGACTTCTAGCAGAAACTAGCTCAGGCACTTTCGGTCAGAGGAGGAGCCAGGGCTGACCTGGGGAGACAGGCAGCTTGCCCTACGCTCAAGCTTATGAGTCACAACTGAAGAGTAGGACTGGTCTCTGCTCTTGGCTTTGGCTTTACTCTTGGCATCTTGGAGAGGCCGCACACACTGCGCACATACGAGGAGGCAGTTCTCACAGTCAGTGGGTTCAAGCCCCGCTCCCACTGCCCTCCCCTTCCTCTCCAAGAGAGCAGTCCAATCCCACCACAGTGGTGTGCACCCCACCAGCACGCCCATGAAACAGGCACTTCATTTCACCTTCCACACGTGCTGTGTCATCTCCCAGCCCGTGCTGGAGAGGGGCAAGGGACGGGACTCCGCTCCGAGTCTCTCCTCCCACTGAGGGGAGAAGTCGCCCGCTGCCTCGAGTGCACCCTGGAGGGGCCCGCTCCTTGCCCCAGCGCGGCAGGCAGGCTCCCACAGCCCTCGGGCAGGCGCTGGCGGCACCGTTCCTGCAGCGTGGGCACTGTCCGGCGGCTCCGGCACAGCGGCTCCGAGAACACCAGTGGCGTCCCCCCCATCTCAAAATGCAAGGGGTTGTTCCGGGTCCCTGCCACCACCAGCTCCAGGAGCCGGACCACGCAGTCTGAAAACCAGTTCTTCAGGCGGAAATAACCTTCCTGGAAAGAGATCCGAAGGCTGACAGGCCCCGTCGGCATCCGCACACTCAGGCTGAACAGGTAGTTCCCCTGAGAGCTGTCCCGTACCAGGTAGGTGCCGACTGGCTCCTGCTGGAGCTTGGCGTGAGCCTCCCCCACCGACAAGGGACCCCAGTAGAAGTCGCTGGCCTGAAGGATATTGAGGGATCGCTCCAGGACCTCCCACTCGCAGCTGCGGAACATACGGAAGCGAGCGGGCAAGCTGGATGGTGCAGGGCTGGGGAGGACACTCCGATGCTGCCGTTGCGGACGAGGAACAGTGGCGTGCGTGTTCTGCAGGTCATCTGGCCTCCCTCTGATCATCTCTCAAAGAGCCCATGGATCCTGGAAAGATGCTGTCTTTACCATGCTCCCCCCTTGGCATCCAGCCTGTGAGATAAAAGGAAAGTGAGGTAAAGCCTTTCGTCCAACTGGGCAAGAGAAGACTCTTCATAGGGAGGAAGAACAGCAGCAATACCATGCGAGAGGGCACAGGGGGATTACTGAAGGTCACAAACCTACAGCTGTAGGGTGACAGGGGAAGGGTGTGCAGGAATGGCTCCGGATGGCTGTCCCTGCAGCACAATGTTACAGAGCTTTGCATCCATGGGATGTAGACGATTACCAGCCAGGGGCTCTCTGCACAGCCTTCTGCACACTGCTTTGAATCTCAGTATTTGTGATTTCCCTCTTTTGGATGTTTGGGGAGGCTTCGGAGTGGTCTTGAAACTGGTGAGGGGAAATGAAACCCAAAATTAGGAGGAGAAAACCTTCCAAGGCAGGAGAGTATCTTTATCGTTCAGTGAAAGGTACAAAGGACTCCTCAAGCCTCTCCAACTTACTTTCTCTCTAAAGGCCAACATGACTTAGAAGCAGCAGCAGGTGGGAGTGAATCTTGCTCACCAGCCCCCAGGAATCATGGCCTCTTCCCGGGACACTCCTGTGTCCGGAGGCCTCAGACAGGGCCCCCTACAAGAAGTGTTTCTCCATCAGCAGCACTAGGACTGCCGCAGATTAGGCTGCTTACACTGACACCAGACGTGCGGCCGTGTGAGGACTGACTCTGCTCAGCCCCTTGCAGCTCTAACTCCTCTTCCTGCCCTGGGCTCTCAGGGACAGCTCTGGAGCACAGGCTCCTCTCTGCCGGAGGGCGATTCTGCCTTCCCCCAGCAGCGCTAGCGTGCTGGCTCCCCAGCACCCTGCTCTTACCCTGCTTGCTTGGCACCGGGGGCTGCTACCAGGCTCCGTGCATTTAGTAGTGCAGACTCCTGCACCCGGCCTTACCGGTCATCTGTCCAAGTCATTTTAATTATTAAAAAATAGTATATATTCTGTGTGTGTGTGTGTGTGTATATATATGCATTCACAAACATAAAAACCACAGCCCCAAGCCAGAGGCTCATTCTGTGTGAGAAGCGGAGCTCTTGCATACCACTTCCCCAGGCCTGTCAAGGCAGCAGCTCACCGCCAAACCCTGCCCTGGCTCCCCTGACATACTCCATTAACCCAGTCACACGCGGTGACAGCGCGGCCCCGCGTCGCTCCGC